ACATGACGCTACTGCTTTTACTGAACACTTCATGATGGACGCAAGCGTGTTGCATAGTGTACTTGTAGCCTTCCATAAACACCGACCATTGCCTTGAATAGAGACAAGAAGCTGAATGAGATGAGTATCTGGTCTAAAGCAACACAGACCTTTTGCTTGTTTTCTTATGCAGAGAGAGACGCTTAATCCTCCATAGTGGATAACCAGCTAAGTGCAAGCCAGCCCATGGCCAAGGACCACATTCGGATCACACCTCTCAGACTGCTCCCCAAAGAGCCAGATGCCACAAAACACCCAAGAAAGGTTTCCCTCTCACCCTGCCCCCACAGCCAAAAGGTGATTGTTTCTGCCTGTATCAGAAATCTGTGCTTAAGCTTCGAGATTTAACTACACAACATAACATGGAATGAAATCGTTGTTATGGTTTACTGCATGAATCAGAGCTTTAGTTGCTTAAGTCTTTGGATGAAAAAGCTTTCTTATAGCTCAGAGATTCACTGTCTTTCAACACTTACCTTCAACTAAATGGGTCACAGGTAAACAGACTTATATTGGAGGCTTTGCACATGGGCCATGTACTGTCTGGAGAAGAATGGTGGAATTTAGTACATTTGAATTCCACATGCCCTTCAGCACTGTAAAGCCTGCTATGACTTCATGAAGCCCTCAAAAAGCCAATTTCTGCCTAGCACCTCCTCACTGTAGCTGTATCAAAAGCCTGCTTAGTATCTCCAAGAAGCCACACAAGCATAAAGATGCTGTATGGTAGACAAGTCACCTTTTTTTGAGAAAGAGATGTTTTGTTCAGAAAACAGTTCTGTAAATGGGGTATCCCAATTGATTAACCTCACACATTTAATGGAGCTGCCTCAGCTAGGAGGGCCAGACTTTGCACTCGATGAAGACAGATGAGCTCAATGAAGACTGACACAGAGCGTGATTCAGAGCAGGAATCCAGCTTACAAGCTCTGAATCATATTTTCAAAAAAGCTGTCATCTTCCTCCCATGACTGAGCTGTAAGCTTATTTTTCTTTCAACAGTTTAGGGGAGTTCCAGTGAGGCAACAGGCAGACTGTCTTCTCTAAAAAGCTTTGTCCAATTTATGCTGAAATGAGGAGCAAACTTCTACCCTGTGATTTTGGCAGACAAATCAAAACACTGTCCCTGGATTTAAAAGGTGCATAAAATGGATTTGAAAGGCAACTTGCCTGATAGAGCATCCCATGCAAAAAAAACAGTATGAAGAGCAAACTTACTCAAACTAATTTAAATATTGTATCATGTCAGAAGCAGCATCAGAAAACTAACTTGGTCTACTCAGCTTCAGAGCCTGGTTTGAATGAGAATCTTGCAATTGTGATTCTTTTAGCATTTCTCTATGCGGTTTATAGGAGAGCTCTTAACAGTAGCACTACTGAAGTCAAACAGAAAGTAAACGTTACCAATTTTTATTTACAGAGTTTGGTGCAATCAAAATGAGACTGTTTAAGCAGCTGGTATCTGAACTGCAAATTTATGAGTTTCAACACAGTCCTCCATTAGAAAGGAAATCAGGTAACATCTTACATTAGCCGATGCAGAAGCTATTAAATAAGGTAGCTTTATGCTTCTGTCTGTCTTTCTCCTCCACACACCCTATTGTATCATCCATATTTTTTTTTCTGCTCTTCTACTGAAAAGCAGCTGTAAGCCTGTGCAACCAGGCAGACAAAGAGCAAGGAAACTTAAAAGAGTTCAAAAGCCAACAGATCTGCAGTTAACGCCCTTGGTGACTAAAGTTTTGGTGCTGCTCCACATCACTCCCATGCCGGCCACGGCTGACAGGAGGGTTCCAGGAATGTGAATATCTACAGAATCCATGAAAACAAGGCTCACCATCAGTCAGCAGCTCCCCACCTATTCCTCTGAGGGGAATAAGTACTTTTAGCCAAAGCCATTTATTGGGAATATGATAAAACCTACAAAATGCAGCCTACACTATTTGGACTTTGTCTCTTTACAGGAGCTACTTTATTCCACTCAGCTGTTTCCACTGCTTAGGCCCACTGGAAAGAGTAATTCCCTCTCTGTTCCCAAACACTGCTGCTTACATTAATGCAGTTCAGCAACTCATGGCTTAAAATAGACAGCAACAACTTAAAAAATCTCCACAAAGACATAAGATCAAAGCTTGCAACTCCTATTTCACATTGAAAATCATGGGCTTTTTTTACTCACTTTTGCCAATCTTTTTCTACACATGCAGCATCTTTGGCATTCAGCTGCGATGACCTGTAAATGTGAAAGGCACCATCGTTTGCTTGTTAGTAATTCATGATTAGTATCTTCAGTTAGTTTTTACCACATTTTTTCTTAGAAACAACAGAATATAAATAATAGTAATGAAACAAAGCCCTCAGAAGAGCATTTAGCGAACACTGGGTGTAACTGCGGGTATAACAAGCCTCAGTTCACCTCCAAGTTGCAAGAATTAATGCTCCTCAGAAACACCTGACTAAGAAATTTCACCTTTGAGTAAGAAAATCTTGAGAGGAAGAAATTTAAACCTCTCAGTGGGGGAATTTTAAGCAAATTAGGAGAGGTAAAGATAGGCAATTGTTTCTGCAAGTATAGCGTGAAATGATCCCTTTATGCTAAAACTATATACGATTAGTACACTGCTTATGTGCAATTTGGAAGTTTTATATCAAGTATATTTTTCAAAGTTTAAGACCAAATACCAGCAACGTCCAATTAAACCCAGGGACATGGTGTCCCTGTCCCTGGCACCATCCCCACCAGCTGCTGAGGAGAGCCTTGCACCTGGGTCTGACAAAACCTCCTCAGGGAAGAAGGTGTCAAGGAGACACAGGCCTCACCATGGGGAAGCTGTCAGCTAATTAGGAGCTGTCAGCAAATTAGGAGACTGCAGTCATCAGCACTCTTTCTCTCTTGCCCTTTTCTGCTGTATTTCCCCTCAGTGGCCCTGGCCTGGCCTGTACCCCCCAGCTCCCTCACCTGTCTTCGCCTCTTCCCGCCTTTTTTACCTTTCCCGCCAAGGGGAGGTCACCATCGTGATTTACTGTTGTGGCAGCAGCTCCCCTGCACTGCCAGGAGGACACCTTCGAAACATTTTAAACACTCTTCTGGAGTGCAGAGACCACGGTGAACTCAGCAGGATCTCCAGACCAAGCCCGGGTCCGTCCCACCAGACCCCCAGCAGAAGTCACCCACTGCTGGGTGGGAGGAGGGAGCACGAAGCAGGACGGCTGCACCCTGCACTGCTTCGCTTGGTTGGCAAGGATGAGACCTCTTGCATTTCCTGTAGCAGAAATCTCTGTCACAGAATTACATTTTTCAATTCTTCTACTGAATTATGATGCCAGAAGTTATGATTTCTCCTTTTATCTCAATTTGCTTTTCAAAAGCTCTTGAAATCACAAAAAAGGCCCAATATTAATGCAAAACAGCACCTCCCCAACATCCCTGCAAAACACTTCATTCTGGTCAGACTCAAAATTCAAGTAAACTAGGTCTTTTGTGTGACCATACTTCTGCATTCTGATACAGGGTTAATGTTCAGATTGGTTAATTACATGCCACATTTACACCAGATATTTTTCTTACTCAGTAGAAGGTTGAGGATAGGTCTAAACAGACCAGTTAAGACAGAATCAGAAGCCACCTGAGAATTTTCCAGAACTGCTATCAGAAAGCGATACCAACTCGCAAAAACCTCCACAGTTTCAACAGAACTCAATTTCACAGCTTCACATCCACACAATTTCGAACATTATACAATGTATCACCACACTCCTCCTTTCTCCTTTTTCTTCTCATGGGTTTACAGTAAAGCAGAATTAATAAAGCAAGTGGAAATCTTGGTAACAGAAGATTTTTTTTCATAGCTGACTTTCAAAATGGTAAGCAGAAAATCACCCTCTAACTTTTCCTGTTATTGTATATGGAACAGATACAAACATGGAACCACACAGAAACATTTATTCTCCCAAAATTAGCATTATTACTTTATTTGGTGATTCATTACAATCTGCAAAATCCAATAGTAAAAAAAAAAAAGAAATTAGGCGTATTGTTAAAGCATTTTACAAGCAAAATACTTTACTGTTTCCTTTTCAATTTGCATAGGGTGGGATAAGTGTATTGGTTAAAGAATATACCGTACAGAAGAACAAAACCATAGTTCATCAGACTGTACTGAAGAGTGTTACGATCCTGTGAGTGAACAGTACTTAACCAGCTATAACCGTCAATGGAAAACCATACACTTCAACATTTACAAGGCTGCCTTCTCATGACCATGATGCATCACGAAGGCTGCAAGCCACTGGGCTTCTTTTCTTACATTGTAGATCATCCTACTTTAAAGAAATTAAAGAGTTAAACAAGCCAGAATGCATCCCTCTATGCTCATTTCTTTTCTACCGGAACAAAGGCCAGAACGGAGAGAGGGGATTTTTAAATTCAGCTTCTGAAACCACTTAAGAGTAACGTCTGTCTCTCACATTTTCAGTGTCATCGAGTTAGCAAGCTTAGAGCTTGATCCACACATCTCTGTTTATTATTACTGTGCGTTCAGGTCAAAAACTGTATTTTTTTCCACTGTGTAGCAACAAACTGCAGAGAAATCATGCTCCTTTCCCATTGTAACAACATTTCTGTTCCTCCAACTGTATCAATCTGGCTTTAAAAGTCTCACAAAACTAAAAAATAGTTGATCTAGGTTGTAATAAAAAAAGAATATTAAATACCTTTGGTAAAAATAGATATATTTAACAAGTTTAGAAAAGCAAATAGTTATACTGTCAAAAGGAGAGTATAAAAATGTACACGATAAAAAATAATAAACAAACAAAAAATCATCAGCCGTAGTAGTAAGAATAAAGGCGCCGTTCTTTTCAATGTTTGCTTCCTCAGCTCACATTATTGTCCAGTCTTCTTTCTAAAAGGCAGGAGCTTTGCTAGAGCATTTGGGAAAATCCAGTCCTTCCTACCAGCATTAGACAAATTAAGTTTAACTCGGACCACAACAGTCTGTTTTAACCCGAGTTTGTACAACAGAGAATGCTTCGGTTTAGAGTACATAGGAGTAGTTGAACACAGAAAGAAAGATTTCAGGTGTTTTCAACCAGAGGCCAGATGTACTGGAGCTGTAGGAACGACACAGCCAGCAGGATCAAGTCTCCATGACGTGAGCCTTCTAACTTTATTTTTACTCCTAAATTATGAATCCATGTATTGTCAAGAAACTTGTGGGGAACAAAAACAATACATACATTTTAAATCCCTCATTGATGCCTTTCTCCCATCCTTTCACTGGGCCTCCAAACAGAGCTGTCACACAACGCGTAATCCCAGTTTGGCTTCTCCTCTCTTTAGAGCTCACTGTAAATCTTGAAGATGGAAGATCCCCAAAGCAAACAACTGAGATTACAGAAGGAGATAATGCACAAGCCCCATAATAGAATCAGCCATTGATTGAATGTGCTTTGAAAGAAAACAGCACAATTATATCACGTTTATCCTTCAGTATTCCCTTTGCACACACAGTCACACTCCTCGTGGTGTTCCAAGGGCACATCTGTCAGTGATTTATGCAATCCCCGGACGCCGGTCCTTGGCTTCAGCTGAAGAACCTGAAGGAGAAGAAGCCAAGCATCAAGAAAACAGCAAGTGCTACATTGCACACCTAGAGCATGAATCACAGAATCACAGAACGTTAGGGATTGGAAGGGACCTCAAAAGCTCATCCAGTCCAATCCCCCTGCCGGAGCAGGAACACCCAGATGAGGTTGCACAGGAAGGCGTCCAGGCAGGTTTTGAATGTCTGCAGAGAAGGAGACTCCACAACCTCTCTGGGCAGACTGGTCCAGTGCTCTGTCACCCTCACTGAGAAGAAGTTTCTTCTCAAATTTAAGTGGAACCTCCTGTGTTCCAGCTTGTGTCCATTACCCCTTGTCCTATCATTGTTTGTCACTGAGAAGAGCCTGGCTCCATCCTCGTGACACTCACCCTTTAAATATTTATAAACATGAATGAGCTAGACTGCACTGGAAACACGCTGGATGGCAGGAAGCCTATCAGAAGAAACAGGATTTGCTCAGCTGAATTTCTTCATTTATTCCACTCATTAATTATTATTTTTGCTTTTACCTCAAGCCCTTTACAAAATTGACAAAAAACC